CTTTGAAAATTTTGCTTAGTTTACATGCATTAGTTTGTGATTAGTTCAGTTTATGGGAAACCACTAGTGGTATGTCAATGATATTTGGTATGCAGTTGTATTAGCATTGGAACATCTCATTTACGTGGAGATTGATTGGACTGTACCATCAGTCGTGGTTCATTGACTTTGAATATTGTGCATAACTTACATGTTAAAGTATTGCTATTTTTATTTCAACATTTGCATTTTACCATCAAAATAACAAAAAGGTGAGACATATTTCTGTGTTAACAGTTTATTAGCTCAGCTGTTATTTCATGGATTGCATTGATATTAAAGGGATAGTCATAAGATTTCAGGTGTACATCTTCATGATCAAGATTCTGAAAAAATAAATTTCAAACTGGACCAAGCCATTCATTAATAGCCATGTGAGATTTATTTTCCTCTTGTGGTCGCATAGAATGGAACAGAAAAAAAGATATCTCTTTGTCATTTACTTTCATTATAAAGTAAAATGTCACTCTGGTCTCGAACAATTTGTTTTTAGCTCTTAATAGGTATTTCATAATTCAGCTTTGTATGAAATTTGTAGAAAGCATATAACCCTGTCAGCACTTGCAGATTCTGTCTTTAATCTGTCATGGGAATGAAAAATCATGTCTGGAGAAGTGATATCAGGAAGCCATTCATTAATAGCATTGTGACATTTTTTATCCTCTTTGTTGTCGCATAGAATGGAACAATAAACAAGATGACTTTGTAGTGATGGACTCTATTCTCTCACATAAAATGTATAAATCAAGACAATTTGTTATCCTCCTGATGTTGTTTTTGTCGAGCCTGCAACATTTATGTCCCGAAAGCAATGCATAGCGATCCTAGATTCCGTCGGTGGTGTCAACATTTAGGTTCAGTCTGTGGTTAAAGTTTTTTTTGGACACAAATAACTTTGTAAAACCGTCACTGAATTTTAGGAAATTTGGACACAAGCTAGTTTATGACCAAAATACAGTACCCAGAGCAAAATTTTGAAAATATTTATTTTCATTTTTCCGTATTTTACTGATAAATGGACTTTTTTTTTTACAGTTAACATTCAGATTAAGTCTGAGGCTAAAGTTTGTCAGTCATCAATTACTTTGTCAAACCTTCATGGAATTTTAGGAAATTTAGACAGAAGCTTATTAATGACCAAATTACAGTATCCAGAGCAAAATTTTGAAATATTTATTCTCATTTTTAACCGGATTTTAGTAGGAAAAATCAGTTATTGGGCGGGTGAGCGTGTCCTTTCTTTAACATGAAAACGCTTTAACGAAATTTTTTCAAATTTAGATATGTTGTTTCCTGTGACTAAATGAAGGTCAAATTCAATTTTCACGATCTTAGCTTTTCTCGTTGTTGAGTTATAGCCCTTTCCCAAAAATTCAATTTTTGACTTATTAATAACTCCATTTCTGTTCAAAGGGAAATAACTCATTTTTTAAAAGATTTTTAAAAGACATTGTATTAATGATAAATGACATTTTGGATTTTTTTTCCTTTTCTTTGGTAATTGTTTGAAGAATTTTATGGTAGGTTTGTTTGTTATTCTTTATAAACTAATTTTCTGAATGCTGTATATAATTTTTTTTTGATGAAGTGAACTCCTTTAATTAGATAATAATCTATTTTTATAAAAGGATATATTTCATTACATTACATTGTGTAGATAAAGTTGTTGACATTGATAGATAAGTTGCAGATCTATATTAGTTTGTGACAAATGAAAGAAAAAATATTTGGAACTATTAATTATATTTTATTATAATTTGAAAATAGATATACATTGTGTAACATCACATCTAATTTTAGAGAACTATTTTTAGTGGTTAAGGTGGATGGGGGGTCTTAATTAAAATCCATAGAATTTGTTAATAATTTGTCAAAATGTAGTTTTTATCATGTAGCAGGTTGTGCAAAATTGTCAGATTTTGTATAGATTATGCATGGAAAATCCAATTTTTTGTGATAAAACGAAAACTACACCATAGAATTTTAAGATAAAATGTGAGAAGATAGCTCTTATAACATGCTTTCAGACAAGAAAAAGCAAAAATGGGGTCACTGGACTTGTTTTCTTGCAACATATTAAAATAGATAAATTCACAACACTTTCTATTTGAAAAAAAATGAATCAAACAAAAGTATTGTGTTTTTTTAGAAAATACAGCCGTAAATATGATAAAACACATAATTTTCTGTATTAACATGAAAAGTCTTGCACATGAATTACATACTACTCTCAAATTTGCACATGAATTAAAGATCTAGACCAATTGTTATCTGCTACTTCAAAATCCAAGATGGAGGAAGACACCCCAGCCACCTTAAATCATATCTAATTTTAGAGAACTATGTTTGCTTTATTAGTTTAACCATTTCTGTTCAAAGGGAAATAACTCAAACTTATTCCATGAACCAGTAATGATAACATAAGTATATGGATTCTGTTCAATTAATTTTAGTCATTAGTTGTCAAAATTTCTTTATAATTATTTTTTTTAAGTCATGTGTGTTATGAAGGTAGATGTCACAGTTGTTATGTGGTATTTTATTTTTGTTGTGTGTGTTAATGTTTAATTTTTACATGATCCTGTTTGGGGGTTTTGATTTGTAAATATCATTACATATCTATTTTAAATATTCAATCACAATCCAAATTTAGAGCTGTTTTAAGCTTAAATGTTGTGTCCATACTTGCTCAACTGTTCAGGGTTCGACCTCAGCAGGAAAATCCGGTTTGCTGTCACTCGACAGCCTCTTATTCCGTATTTAACTGATAAATGGACTAAAGTTTTTTTTTTACATTTAACAAGTAGATGCAGTCTGGGATTACTTTGTCAATCCTTCATAGAATTTTATGAAACTTTGGCAGAAGCTTTTTTATGATTAAAGAGATAATGTTTGAAGCAAACTTAAGAAAATATATTTTTTTCATATTCAGTATTTTTCTGATCTATATATAGATGGACTTATATTTTTACAGTTAACATTTGCAGACAGTCTGGGATTAAACTTTTTTTGACTGATAAATTTGTAAACCTTCATGGATTGTTATGAAATGTGGACAGAAGCTTATCTGCAAGACCATGAAATAGCATCTAATTTTTCTAATTCTGTATTTTACTGATAGAATGAAGTTCATAACAGTGTGGACATGTACAAATGGTATTTAAATGTTATAGTGTGTATCACTGGCTGTAGATTTCACGCAATTACAATATGTCAGGGGCATCTCATTGGGGATGTACATAAATACTATATCTTTCATAAAATAAATGTTTTTGCATAAAAGTTTATAGTATTTGTTTTTAATTTCAAATTTTTTGTGGTCGTATATTGCTATCACGTCGTAGTCTGAAGACATTTGGTTTCCGGACAATAACTTTAGTTTAAGAAAAGGAAGGTTGGGATTGTTTATGGGGATGATGGTCCAAACCATTCAGGAATAAGGGTCCCAAAACAAGCATTTTTCTAGTTTCAGGACAATAACTTGTGTATAAGTATTTTGATTGCTCTGAAATTGAACCACAAGGTTCAATACCACAAGTAGAAGGTTAGGATTCATTTTGGGGGTAATTGTCGAAAAATTGTTCAGGAATTAGGGGCCAAAAAGGGTCTAAAACAAGCTTTTTTCTAGTTTTCAGACAATAATTTGTGTTGAAGTGTATGGGTGTCTCTTAAATTGTACCACATTTTACAAAAAGAAAATTTCTTCAAATGTTATTTTTTTTGGAGGGAGTTAAAAAAAAAAAAAAAATTAGGGGGGGTCAATTTTTTTCCCCTCAAGATTTTAGAAACTGTCTTGGGGGTCACAGTTTATTTTGCTATTTCTTTGTATATAGTCTGAAAACAGATTTGCTAAGTATTGCGCAACAGCACAGTGTATTGCACAACAGCAAGAAATCTTCAATTGAATATAAATTCAAATCATATAACCAATTTCAAGTTCTTTGACTACATTTATTCTGTGTCAGAAACCTGTAATGTGTCAAATATTTAATGACAATCCAAATTCAGACCTGTATCAAGCTTGAATATTGTGTCCATTTTTGCCCCAACTGTTCAGGGTTGGACCTCTGCGTTCGTATCCAGCTGCACTTGATGAAGCAGTTTATTAATGTATTTCTTTGTAGTAATAACTATACAGTTTAGGGATAGATCTGGGGTTTTGATTACTGTAGACTATAATTAAAGATTGATTGGTTGTTGGTTGCTTTACGTCCAGTGGCAAATATTTAATGCATGTTCAGGACGATATTGAAGGAGAAGTCAGGTATATTATGTATTATAATGAGCATGACAGCATCCCAGCAACACAAATAATCAAAAGAAATTCCATGAGAAAAATATGCAGAAAAGGAAATGTAAAAGTAGTAAAATTGAAAAGATTTTGTTTCAAACAGGTCGCTACAACAAGAATTTTGACGTCAGAATACATTTGCATAGTAATTTGAAAAATACAATAAAATGTGCTGTGATATCACCTCTGAATTAACTTATTCTTTCAAAAGAAACTTTTTGTTGTGATTTTATAGATCTATTCAAAACAAATTCCTATAAAGTTTCATGCAAAAACCTTTATTTTATGAAGTGTAAAAATAGTAATTATGTACATCCCCATTGAGAGGCCCCTGACATACTATAATTGTGTGAAATATTTGTTGTCGTCAGCCAGTGACAGACACAATAACATTTAAGAACCAGGTGTCCATGTCCACACTGTTGTGAATTCTATAATAAATGGACTCACTGTTTAAGTCAACATTACACTTTTACACTGACAGCAGCAATTGCAGGCGAGACACAGGATTCCGCAGATATCCAGACAACTTTTTATTGTGCTATTGAGATGCTGTCTCATTGGTTATACTAATTCAAAATGTACCTTATTCATATCATTTCAGTTGCTTTTTCTAGAGTCTTGAACTAAATGTTTGAGTAATATATGAAAAATCTTTTTTTATTTTCAGGGTAAAATTGCTTGTGCTAATGTTCTGAGTGATCTGTATGCTATGGGTGTGACAGATTGTGACAACATGTTGATGTTGCTTGGTGTCAGTAATAAAATGACAGAGAAAGAACGAGATATTGTTGTTCCCATGATGTTGAGGGGATTTAAAGTAAGATTTATTTAGGGGTATAATCTACAAAATTTATGTGTATAGCTTCAAGTCAAGATTTATTTATTGCAGTTTCAAGGGGGGAAACATGTATACAAGATATGATTGGGGAAAAAATGCAAAAAAATAACAGTACAGATATAAAAGTAATTTTTATTATGCCCCCGCCGTAGCAGAGGGGGCATTAAGTTTTACCCTTGTCTGTCTGTACGTACGTCCCAAAATTGGTTTCCTTCTCTGACTTGAGTTTGCCTCAACCAAATGTTATGAAACTTATACACAATGCTTATTACCACAAAACACAGATCAAGTTTGAATTTTGGTGGTGTGACCTTTAACCGTTCTAGAGTTATGCCCCTTTATAAATGGAAAAATTGCAAAATTTTTATTTTCTTCTAAATATTAAGTAAATTTTAAATTGGAGTTATCTTCCTTTGTCCATGATTATAGTTGAATCAACTACAATCAATGCTTTATACAATGCAATGTTTAATTTTGACTTCCACTGATAAAACACAGATCAAGTTGAATTTGGGTAGTGTCGCTTAAACCATTATTGAGTTATGCCCCTTTATAAATCGAAAGATTGCAAAATTTTTAGTTTCCATTCTGTAAATTAAGTTTGCCCCAACCAAACATTATGAAACCTATACACAATATTCATTACCACAAAACTAAGATCAAGTACAAATTTTTTGTTTCTGTTTTCTAACTTTAGTTTGCCTCAACCAAATGTTATAAAACTTATACACAACCGTTCTAGAGTTATGCATGTTTACAAATAGAAAAGTTGCTGAAATTTTAGTTTCTGTTCTCTACTTAAGTTAGCCTCAAGAGACTTATGAGACTTGCACACAATGCTTATTGCCACAGAACTCAGATCAAGTTCAAATTTGGGTAGCGTCACTTTTACTTTTCTTCAGTTATGTCCCTTTATAACTATATGATATGCAAGCGGGGTTATCATCTGTGGACACTATCCACATTTTTTCTTCCATATTTTATAGTATGGAGTTGAGATTCATATTGAAAGATCCATAAATGTTGACTGTTGATGCTTCTATATATTCATACAATCATGACAGTTAAAGGGGCATTAGCTACGATTTAAAAAAAATTTAAAATACAATTCTTTTTATACAACCGCAAAAAATATTGGTATCACGTCATTGTCCGAAGACATTTGGTTTCTGGACAATAACTTTAGTAAATGTCAATAGAAATCTATGAAATTAAACACAATGGTTTATAACCACAAAAGAAAGGTTGGGATTGATTTTTGAGGGTTAGAGTCCTAACAGATTAGGAATTAGGGGCCAAAAAGGGGCCCATTAAGCATTTTTCTAGTTTCCAGACAATAACTTGTGGAACGGTGTATGGATCTCTCTGAAATTATACCTTAAGTTTCCATACCACAAAGGGATGGTTAGGATTGGCTTTGGGGGGTTATGGCTCAAACCGTTTAGGAATTAGGGGCAAAAAAGGGGGGAAAACGAGGGTTTCCTGGTTAATGGACAATTAAAAAAAAGTACAATGTTATGTTTGGATTACCTCCCTTACACTGCTTTTAAATTATGTATAAAGAAATGTTGTATTGTCTTGAGGTGATTAGCTGTCAATTTTTTTTTAGAAGTTACTATTTAAAAATGCTGACTAAGGAATATTAATTTTAGCCATGATTATGTATGTCATTTTCTATTTTAAGACTTTTATGATGTATTTAAATGGGTAATTATGGTTGCAAATTCCATTGGAAATTTGAATTGAGATTATGACCATATCTTGAGGGAAAGAATTTATTTTTATGGAAAAAAGGGGGGGGGGGAGGTGAAATATAAATTGTGAGGGGAACAATTTTTTCTCAGTTCAGAATTGAGAAATTAAAAAGAAAATTTCTTCTTTTTTTTTTTTTGGGTGGGGTGGGAGTCAATTTGCAACAGCATAGTGTATTGCACAAAATAAAAAAAAAAAGGTTGGTAAATTTTTTTATTTTTTTTTATGGAGGGAGGGGGGTCAATTCGCAACAGCAAAGTGTATTGCACAAAAGCAAAAAATTGAATATAAATTCAAATCATATAACTAATTCTAAGTTCTTTGACTACAGTTATTCTGTGTCAGAAACCTATTATAATTACAATCCAAATTCAGACCTGTATCAAGCGCGAATATTGTGTCCATTTTTGCCCCAACTGTTCAGGGTTGGACCTCTGCAGTCGTATCCAGCTGCGCTCGGCGAAGCAATTTATTGGTTGTTAGTGTAAAATGATGACTATGGATCCCATTTGTATCTATTCTTTAAAATTACTACCCAGAGTGACACCTTTTTGCTATCTGATAGTTAATGATATGCAGAAATATCAGACATCCCTAATAGTTATCAGACATCAGATTGATTATGATGTGACTGATAAATAGAATATTGACAATTTTCGCGTTCTTTACTGTAGTCACCTGACATTATTTGTTATAGTGCAGGATCATTGTTAAACTATTCATGGCCTTCAAGAAACTGTTAATTGTTTCATGTTCCCCTAACCACCTGCTAACTTTTTTATGATAATGTATTTGTTGTTAAGCAACTCCCACTCACAAAAGATACTGCTGGTTATCATGTAGAGATTGCTTTTGGAAAATGTGCTGAAATGATAATTTTTAATGAGCCAATAGCTGTCAGCCCTCCAGATGTAGATGGTAGCATACTTGTATTTTTGACAATTTAGAAATCTTGCTTATAAATACCAGTCTTTTGACAGAGATTGGTAAAATCTTCCACTTAGGAGAAAAAATGTCCCTTTTCTTGCTCTAACACTAATATCTCACCATGACTAGTTGATGTCAAGTAAAGATCAACAAATAATGGCCAAAATATTGTTTATAGATATGTTGAGCACTGAAGCTAGCAGACATGTTGTTTTAGCTTATAAAATGCATGGATTCATTTGGATATTTATGTGAAAATTTCTTATATAACTTACAAAACTTTTAATTTTTTCGAAAAACTTAGGATTTTCTTATCCCAGGAATAGATTACCTTAGCCGTATTTGGCACAACTTTTTGGAATTTTGGGTCCTCAATGCTCTTCAACTTTGTACCGTTCCTACTCGCTTATTAGTCGGAAAATTGGGAGTAAAATTCATAATCCAGAGAGGGGGGCCGACTAATAGACGAGATCTAGCGACCAGAGGAAAAATCCAAGCTTGAGAAAAGTGGTCAGGAGTGAATTTCCTGGTCAAAACTACGTTTTTGATTGCCAAACCTACATAAATCAATAAATAAAAAGTTTTTGTTGAAAATAAATGACTTCAATACTGTCTTTGTGTTTTATTTGTTCTTTGGTAAACATTTTCTGCAAATTCGTGTTGAAATTCTACTGTTTCCGGTTTGTGTATTGATTTTCATGGTCACATGGTTTTCCTATAAACCCAAAAGAAGAGCCAAGAACCAAAAATGAAAAGGAGATAACAATGTACCAAATATGTGAAAGGATGTTTTCAGCGGAGTTATTGTGTCATTATTGTGATATCATGATATCAATTCAATGCTTATAAATCATATAATAATCAAAAAATAATTTTAAGATTCATTCCCAAAATCAAAATATTATTCATTATAGTGTCTCAGGTAAACAAAAATTACAAAATTGATTGACAAGCCAATATAATCCATTGATAACCCCAATTAAGAGAGAAAGAGTTGTATTCACTAAAGGTGTGAAAACTATCAGTGATAGGTAAACAGATGACACTAATGAGTTGGAGTTAGTTATTTTAATATATTGATTAGCTTCACTTACTTTTTTTAATCCTTTAATCATCACAATATAATAAGAATTATGAAGTGTACATGCTCATTTAACACCGAGTTATGTATGCTGTGAAAAATATTTTCATCAAGTGTTGATTGACTTTAAATTTTTCAGGTTCATATTAGTTTATATTCGCTTTTCTCAAACAATAGGTTGTTAGTCATACCCTACAAAATCATTGATGCATTACGTAAACAACACATGGCTAATCTAACATTTGAACAGTGAACAAAACAAGAGAAATGAATACATCTTTATTATTAACAGCAATATAAATTATCATGATGAGCATCAACTAAATTCAAACCAAACAAACATTAATGCAGAAATGAATATTATTCCTGGATTTGCATTGGTTTTACCGGCGTTCAGTTACTGTCAGCTGAAAAAAAAATGCCCAAATTTTGTCCGACTTATACGAGGGTCAAGACTAAATCCTTAGAATTTGGAGCTGAAAAGGGCCCCCGACTTATAGTAGGATCGACTATTAGGCGAGTTTATACGGTACTTGTTTGGCTTTATAACTATTTTGATCTGAGCGTCACTGATGAGTCTTATGTAGACAAAACGCGCGTCTGGCGTATTAAGTTATAATCCTGGTACCTTTGATAACTATTAACTGAAATAAGAGAACAAATTCACAAAAATCTACCACTCCAAAAATTTCCTGAAATGGAAATCTGAAAATTAAGGGAAAGATAAACAAATATGAAAACCTTACCATAATTGATGATTTTTAACCAGTCTTATAGTTTGACTTTCCATTTATCAATCAATCTAAAGATGAAAGTATAGGTTTAACTTTTCATATTACAACCTCGGTAAAGAAGTTTGTCAGTTTGTTATGATGCCTTATTTTTCCACTTGTAGGACCATGCTGAAGAAGGTGGAAGTTCTGTTACTGGTGGTCAAACAGTCATCAACCCATGGTTAACTATTGGTGGGGTAGCTACTACAGTTTCACAGCCCAATGAATTTATTATGTGAGATTTAGTCTTGTAATCAAAATTACACTAGACATCGGGAAAAAATCTTGATAGTTATTTTTTACTTCATTAACAAAACTTAGAATTAATATTATATAGTGTTCATTTGTAAAATATGCCTTAGCTTTGCACACAGTAATCCTGAATTTAAAGGGATTTATTACATATTAACGGAAAATTACAAATGTCTTAATTTTAGAGCAGAATTTTTATTCAAATGCTTCAAAGTCAAAACGTTATCATCATAAGTTTAAGGAACTGGAAACCACAGTCAGGTTTGATCAGTTGTGTGTATATTTTGTGTGCTTTATTTGACATCATAATAAAATTTACCTTCCTGCCTGGTCTACTCTACAATCATAACCGTTGTCAGGGGGAACATACAACTCTCTATTTGTGGCTTGGAAAGCCAGTTGCTGTAGATTCTAAGGAAATTTCTATGCCCCTCTTACAATAGTTGGGAGTGGGCATTGTGTTGTTATACGACCGCAAAAAAAATTTGGGATCGTATAATGGTATGATGTCGTCGTCCGAAGACACATTGGTTTCCGGACAATAACTTTAAGTTAATGGATCTCTATGAAATTTTTTAAGAAGGTTCAATACCACAAAAGGAAAGTTGGGATTGATTTTGGGGATGATGGTCCCAACCGTTTAGGAATTAGGGGCCCAAAACAAACATTTTTCTAGTTTCAGGATAATAACTTGTGTATAAGTATTTCGATTGCTCTGAAATTGTACAACAATGTTTAATACCACAAGTAGAAGGTTGGGATTCATATTAGGGGTTATGGGGCAAACAGTTTAGGAATTAGGGGCCTAAAAGGGGCCAAATTATGATTCAATTTTTTTCTAGGAGTTATGCCCCTTTGAACTTATTTGTTTCAATATACCTCTGCAACAGTTTGTCATCGCAACTCCTCTGAAACCACACAACAGAATTTCATGAAACTTTGTAGATAATAAGGACATACTAGGTAGATGTGCATATCGACAGGAAATTATGATTCAATTTTTTTTCTTATACAATATTTTTCTTAGTTATTTTATTTCTACAGTGACAATGTGGGGACGTGGGGTATGTGAGCATGCTCACTAAGGTTCTTTAATTGAATTCTTAAACCTCACATGTAAGATTTTAATATGTCTTCTTTAAACAAAACATCTTCGTCATTTTCATTTGACATTTTGTTATGGAGTTAAAGCAGTTTAACCAGTTTAGGCCTAATATTATCTATGACTCTGTGAACACTACCCCTCTCAGATCATATGCTTTAAATCTTTCCAAGTGAGTGAGTCATTACATATTGTTGACAATAGTGTATTGCCATTATGCATTTTTAATCATTTTTTTTTGTCTATGAATGGTTTAATTTCAATTTGTTGATGCTACTGTACATCTCTGGGACCATATATGTGAAAGTTTTCAGGTAAGAAAGTTTGTTGTAATGTGTTGTTGGCCATACTTTGCTGCCATTTCACTGTGTAAAGTTGGAAGTTTTATCCATTTAAACCAAAATTAAATTATCAATGGGACTTTTTAAGTTGTGCATTCAAGGGTTTATTTGAGTTTAATTAGAAAAAATTTCCCTTCTAGTTGTGTTTTCTTGAGGATTTATATTGGTGTTTTCTTCATATTTGGAAAAATTAATTTCAAATATGATTGCTCTTGTCGAATAAATATCCGTTTTCATTATTGGCAGACATGGTTATATTCTTTTGTCCATTTGACAAATAGAATATCATTACTCTTCCATTTTTTGTTACAAAGTGGACCTTCAGAACACTTTGCCTAGTAGATATATATTCTTCTATACTTTATCAGAAGGTACAGTTTCGGGATCACGTTATTTATTTTAGGTAATTCAAGATCATATACCATGGTGATGTCAGACATCCACTGTTATAATCAACTTTTTAAATTGTCTTAATAAAAACCTTACAGATACATTTTGATTTGATCAGATGATATACATGTCACAGACTACTGTGAAAATATCAAAATGTACAGGGTAGTAAGCATATGTATTTTAGTAAATTTTCACACATGTCTTAATTAATGAAATATTATCTAAGAATATTTAACATTTTCTTAATTTAAAATCATCAGGCCAGATAATGCTGTAGTTGGTGATGTGTTGGTATTAACAAAACCTTTAGGAACACAAGTAGCTGTGAATGCTTATCAATGGTTAGACCAGCCAGAGAGATGGAACAGGATTAAACTGGTTGTATCAGATGATGATGTAAGGAAAGCATACCAAAGAGCTATGTTTAGTATGGCTAGGCTTAATAGAACAGGTTGGTTTTACGAGACCTTTACACTCAAATATATTTTTTACAGTAGATATGTGCTGCATAATGGTACATTGATTTATACCACAGGGTATTATAGAATATAAAAGGCCCTAATTAATTCCAGCAGGTCAAGACAGAAGTTGGCTGTTGACATTTGTTTATACAATCAAGACACACATGCAAGAGTTCTGGGTTAGTTTTTGTTTCAATATGAGTATGAAAAAGTCATATCATGTGGTGTTTTTCTATGCCCATTCCAAGTTTTTTTACACAGGAGACTTGAGCAAAAGATTTAAATAGATTCCCACTTAAAAAAGTCAACCCTGTTCTAGTTTTACCCTCCTCGCCCTGATAAAAAAACAAACGTAAAGTTACATTGCCCATATATTGATGTTTTCATGCAGACAATGTTGTATTGATCCCAATACTGCATAGATGTCTGATGTTACCACATGTATTTTGTGTGTAAAATGAATTCTGACTATCTCCGAACTAAAGTATTCTTAACAAGACCAATGGTTGTACTATGATAATGCATCCAAATGTAATGCGTTTGAGCAATTTAAGTACAGTAGACTCCTGCAAATCGGATACCCTAAACGTCAGCAAAAAATATACCATTACCCGATATATTCAATTAGACAATAAATAAATATTCATTGAATATTCTGCAATAATGAGTTGACATAATTCTGAGATGTTACTAGCTATAAAACAGTAAAAGGTTATACACCACCAGGCACCACGATGTTTGTGTAATATCAGCTGGTTATGTAATGTATTTATTTGTTTTCAGTTTTTATACGACCGCAAAAAAATTTTGTGGTCGTATATTGGTATGACGTTGGCGGTGTCGTCGTCGTCCGAAGACACATTAGTTTTTGCACTCTAACTTTAGTTTAAGTGAATGGATCTCTATAAAATTTTACCATAAGGTTTAATACCACAAAAAGGGGCCAAAAACAAGCATTTTTAGCTCACCTGGCCCAAAGGGCCAAGTGAGCTTTTCTCATCACTTGTCGTCCGTCGTCGTCGTCGTTAGCTTTTTACAAAAATCTTCTCCTCTGAAACCACTGGGCCAAATTTAACCAAACTTGGCCACAATCATCATTAGGGAATCTAGTTTAAAAAATATGTCCGATGACCCCGCCAACCAACCAAGATGGCCGCCATGGCTAAAAATAGAACATAGGGGTAAAATGTAGATTTTGGTTTATATCTCTGAAACCAAAGCATTTAGAGTAAATCTGACATAGGGTAAAACTGATAATCAGATCAAGATCTATCTGCCCTGAAATTTTCAGACAAATCTGACAACCTCTTGTTGGGTTGCTGCCCCTGAATTGGTAATTTTAAGGAAATTTTGCAGTTTTTGGTTATCTTGAATATTATTATAGATAGAGATAAACTGTAAACAGCAATAATGTTCAGCAAAGTAAGATCTACAAATAAGGTGACATGACCAAAATTGTCAGTCGCCCCCTTTAGGAGTTATTGCCCTTCATAGTCAATTTTTAGTAATTTTTCGTAAATTTTTGTAATCTTTTACAAAAATCTTCTTCTCTGAGACTACTGAGACAAATTTAACCATACTTGGCCATAATCATTATTAGGGTATCTAGTTTAAAAAATTTGTCCGATGACCCCGCCTTCCAACCATCATGGCTGACTTGGTTAAAAATAGAACATAGGGGTAAAATGCAGTTTTTGGTTAATATCTCTGAAAGTAAAGCATTTAGAGCAAATCTGACAGGTGGCAAAAATGTTCATCAGATTTAGATTTATCTATCCTAAATTTCAGACGAAACAGACAACCCGTTATTGGGTTGCTGCCCCTGAGTTTAGTAATTTTACAGAAATTTTGCAGATTTTTGTTATTTTCTTAGATATCATTATAATATCTAATATCTAATACTATTAATTATGATTTTAACCTTATTTTACATGATTTCCAAAGCATCAGTAAATACAGGTGAGCGACACAGGCTCTTGAGAGCCTCTAGTTCTAGTTTCCAGACAATAACTTGTGTTCAAGTGTATGGATCTCTCTGAAATTGTACTGCAAGGTACCATACCACAAAGGGAAAGCTGGGATTGAGTTTGGGGGTGATGAATCATAAGGGGATTCAAAAAATTGGTGGGGGGGGGGGGGGGGATTTTTTTTTCCTTTTTAGCTCACCTGGCCCTTTGGGCCAAGTGAGCTTTTCTCATCACTTGGCGTCCGTCGTCCCTTTGGGCCAGGTGAGCTTTTCTCATCACTTGGCGTCCGTCGTCCGTAAACTTTTACAAAAATATTCTCCTCTGAAACTACTGGGCCAAATTTAACCAAACTTGGCCACAATCATCATTAGGGTATCTAGTTTTAAAAATGTGTCCGGTGACCCGGCCAACCAACCAAGATGGCTGCCATGGCTAAAAATAGAACATAAGGGGTAAAATGAAGATTTTGGCTTATATCTCTGAAACCAAAGCATTGACATGGGTATCAGGTCAAGATCTATTTGCCCTGAAATTTTCAGATGAATCGGACAACCTGTGTTAGGTTGCTGCCTCTGAATTAGTAATTTTAAGGAAATTTTGCCATATTTGGTTATTATCTTGAATAAAATCTTCTCCTCTGAAACTACTAAGATGAATTTAACCAAAGTTGTAAACAATCATCATTAGGGTATGTAGTTTAAAAATTGTGTCTGATGACCCCGCCCGCAAACCAAGATGGCCGACATGGCTAATAATAGTACATAGGGTAAAATGCAGTTTTTGGCTCATATATCTAAAAAGCATTTCGAGCAAATCTTTCAAAAACAAAATTGTTCATTAGGTCAAGATCTATCTGCCCTTAAATTTTCAGACCATTCAGGCAACCCGTTGTTAGGTTGCTGCCCCTGAATTGGTAATTTTTAGAAATTTTTTCAGCTTTTGGTTATTATCTTGAATATTATTATAGATAGAGATAAACTGTAAACAGCAATAATGTACAGCAAAGTAAGACCTACAAATAAGTCAACATGACCAAAATGGTCAATTGACCCCTTAAGGAGTTATTGCCCTTTATAATCAATTTTTAACAATTTTCATAAATTTTGTAAATTTTTACAAAATAATTTCCACTGAAACTACTGGGCCAAGTTCATTATAGAAAGAGATAATTGTAAGCATCAAGAATGTTCAGTAAAGTAAGATCTACAAACACATCACCATCACCAAAACACAATTCTGTCATGAATCCATGTGTTTTAATATGCACATAGACCAAGGTGAGCGACACAGGCTCTTAAGAGCCTCTAGTTTCTAGTTTTTTCTTTAAAATTTTCCATTTTAAATTGGTAATTTCTGATTTATATATAAAAGCAAATAATAATGATATGGTTTGAATAGGTAAATTAACATTTTTTAAGTTCTTAGACCACTTTCATTCTGTCTGAGAAACCTATGCTGTGTCAAATATTAAATTACAATCCAAATTCAGTGCTGTATCAAGCTTGAATGTTGTGTCCATACTTGCCCCAACTGTTCAGGGTTCGACCTCTGCGGTCGTATCAAGCTGTGCCCCAGCGGAGCATTTTATTAAATCCTAAATTTATTAAAATAAATCAAATACCCTGAAATATTTATGTGAATAAATATCTACCATCCATAGTTTGTGTCTTTATTTGTTTTATTAACGAAGTTATTTCCATATTTACATTAATCACAGGTAAGCTTATTGAGCTATAAATAGATTAAAGCATATTCTGTGTACAGTGTAGAATCTCTAAACTGAAATCGAATTTGTTATATATTTTACTTCTTTATAAAATCAAATTAATTTGAATATTACTGAAGATAATCATGATTGGTAAAATATTTGTGCACCAAGTTTATGTTTTCTAAAGACTGTTAATATTTAGGCCATTCTTCTAGAGGCTTCTTCACATTATGTAAACAAAACAAAAATGGCGTCCATGACAATTGGTCATGCACATGTTATAAATTTATATCTGACAAAAGTCAAATTTCTCTTGTCAAAAGGAATTTATATGTATATTGCAATAAATTATTCAGCAGGAGGTACATTCACTTTGAATTATATTTCTGATTCTATGAGGACGCCGAGATTTATCAAAATTCTCCCATGGCCAACGGCAACGTACTGCCCTAACATATTTTATAAATAAATTCAAACCATTTAAATTTAAAGGGCATCTGATTCACATTACAAAGGAAGACAATGAATAAAGACAAACAATTTATTAAGAAATAGTTCCTTTTATTAAGTAAAAACAAAATGTTCTTGTCTGCAAGATTGTAATTGCGTAACTTCTGGGTCCTTTTTCTGTCAGAAAAACATTGAAAATATCCGATTGTGCATGGTTTTAACAGAATTTTTCTGAATATTCTTATCAGATTTGCCGATATATTCTTATATCCGATATTCAATTACACGATAAAATTAGCATTAAACATATAGGGAAGGGTTTGGTGTTTTGAAATAATATTACAATACCTGATATATTCGTTTAGCCGATATCCGATTAGGTGGAGTCTACTGTAATAATAAGCATACAAAACTCCCAAAAAAATCTAAATTTATATGAAAAATATTATGATTATAAAGAATTGTTAGTCATGTCTTCATCAAGGGTTATATTTCATGTTTTATTTTGAAACATTTTATATTTCCACAGGTGCTAGACTTATGCATAAATACAATGCTCATGGAGCCACAGATGTCACAGGATTTGGACTGTTAGGACATGCTAAAAACCTTGCTAAGATTCAGAAGAACGAAGTGAGCTTTGTCATCCATAATTTGCCCATTATAGCAAAAATGGCTTCAATAAGTAAAGCCTGTGGAAACATGTTTGGTTTGTTACAAGGACATTCAGCAGAAACATCAGGTACTGTTTGTGGTCTTATTAGCATGGGAGGGTACAATAGGGGTGTGAGTGATTTATTTGATTTTTAGTTAGATGAGATGTTATGCAGTAGATATAATATGCTACTCAGAGAAAGTGACTGCTATCGTTTATATTTATGTAAGGTTAAAGAAATTTCCTGAGTTGTCTTTCCTTGACCAGTTCCGTAACTGGTACTCTTCATCTGTGACCCATGGACACATTCCCCATTTATTTTTTGAATAATCTTTCAGAGAAACTAATAGGGTATATATATATATGCTGTTGTGAATTTAGATGAATTTAATTTCTAACTAATTACAATATTGTTATTTTGTTGTATGTTTTCATTTTCTGATTTTTTTGTTTTTTGTCATTATCTTTTATTGTTGAGTACATTTTATGGTTTTGTATCTTTACCAGTTAAATTTGGTTGGATTATCCATTACCTTAATTCTTTATTTTGTAGTTTATTGAATAACAATTTTATTTATTATTGTTACTAGGAGGTTTATTAATGGCATTACCAAGGGAACAAGCAGCAGCATTCTGTAAAGACATTGAAAAACAAGAAGGTTATCAATCGTGGATTATAGGAATTGTAGAGAAAGGAAACCGAACAGCAAGAATAATAGACAAACCAAGAGTGATAGAGGTTCCAGCCAAAGACAGAGACGGAGAGCTCTGGTAGCCATTGAACACATGCAAAAATTCTCATAATCCTTATGTTTTTGTACATCATATTTATACTTTGTCTGAACTGAGCAAATTTTCAAGGATTTATTTGTTGGTATATTTTCAAGGATTAATTTGTTGGTATCTTTTCAAGGATTAATTTGTTGGTATCTTTTCATCTCATTTTCATCTTTTAATCATACTTCATTGTTAAATTTTTATTTTTTTAATTGAAGATGGTAAAGAAAGAAGCAGAGTTGTCTGTCCTGGGCTCACTATTGCTTTATACATTGTATCTGTATATTTTGTGACTCACCTGTGTATGAAGTGGATCTGACCAACATATAACAATATGAATAGGTCCATAGATGTAGCAGTGTTATCACATTGTGTACAGATACAAAGATGCATCTTTATTATGTTATTTGGACAATTTTGACATTTTCCTTGGTTCCAGAATAAATTAAATTGTATGTTTAACAAATTACATGTATATAATGGCTGAGAATTTGTTTTTCTCCTTATGATCATGAAATAAAGTTAGACCTTATGAATTAATTGTTTCACTGCTGTTCAGGCTTTGGTTGGTGATAATTCAATTCAAATGTTAACAAAATAATCATGATTGTTGATGAGGCTGATTAATTGAAATCATGGAATTTGTGATCATTGTCCAAAATAAAATGAAGAAATCAATGTCATTAAAAAATATACAATGTTAAAAATGTCTTGATATTTTATTGTTGTTTACCCTGCATTATATTACAAGTTTGTTGATTTGGTTTTGTTTGACATTCAACCAAGCAAACCTGTTTTTGTATTTCAGAAGTTAGAAGAGATGGATAATCCATTTTTATGCCCTCGCCGTAGCGGAGGGGGCATTAAGTTTTACCCTTGTCTGTCTGTACGAACGTCCTTACGTCCCAAAGTTGGTTTCCGTTCTCTAACTTTAGTTTGCCTCAACCAAATGTTATGAAACTTATACACAATGCTTATTACCACAAAACACAGATAAAGTTTGAATTTTGGTGGCGTCTCTATAATCGTTCTAGAGTTATGCCCCTTTACATTTGGAAAAATTGCTGAATTTTTCGTTTCCGTTCTCTATCTTTAGTTTGCCTCAACCAAATGTTATGAAACTTATACACAATGCTTATTACCACATAATATAGATTAAGTTTGAAATTGGGTGGCATCACTTTTATTGTTCTTGAGTTATGCCCCTTTATAAACAGAAAAATTGCTGAATTTTATTGTTTCCGTTCTCCATCTTTAGTTTGCCTCAACCAAATGTTATGAAACTTATACACAATGCTTATTACCACAAAATACAAAATACAGATCAAGTTTGAATTTGGGTAGCGTCACTTTTACCGTTCTTCAGTTATGTGCCTTTATAACTTTATATGAAATGCAAGCGGGGGCATCATCTGTGTCCCATGTACACATTCCCCATTTATTTTTTATACAGGAGCCTTATTTTCAGAAGTTTCTGTCTGGCTGAAATTGAGACAGGGATACTAATCTCAACGGCATAAATGATTTGTATATAGCTTTATATTTCAGGTGGTTGAAGACCTGGATACTTCATACCTTTTATAATGGTACCTTATGTTCTGAAGTTTTCATTTGTCACTTGTCCCTTGTCCTTGACCTCATTTTCATTCTAGTAACTGATTAAACAAGAATGCACACGCTGAAATGTCTCGCCTACTATACTGACCATTGATTTTATGTTGATAGTCCTAAATATTAAGTTTTACTATAAGTATCACATTAACATTTATGATCCAAGAAAATGAGGTCAAGGTCAGATAAACCAAGCCGGAAATTAAAGGATACCTTTCGTACAATCATTCCATACACGGAATATAGATGACATATTGCTTATAGTATAAAAGAAAGAGACCAAACCATGGAAATTTTATATTGACCAATGAACCATGAAATTGAGGTCAAGTTCAGATGAACCCTGCCAGACAGACATGTACACCTTAAAATCATGACATGCATCAAATATAGTTGACCTATTGCTTATAGTATCTAACAAACAAAGTTAACCAGGAAAACTGAACATTGACCAATGAACCATGAAAATGAGGTGAAGGTCAGATGATACCTGCCAGACAGGTAATACACCTTACAATCATTCCATGCACCAAAAATAGTTGACCTATTGCATTCAGTATTTGAAAAACAGACCCAAAACACAAAACTTAACGTTGAGCAATGAACCATGAAAATGAGGTCAAGGTCAAATAAAACCTGCCAGACTGACATGTACATCGTAAAATATTTCCATACACCAAATATAGTTGACCTATTGCATTAGTATTTGAAAAACAGACCACAACACAAAACTTAACGTTTACCACTGAACCATGAAAATGAGGTCAAGGTCAGATGACATCTGCCAGTTGGACATGTACACCTTACAACCATTACATACACCAAATATAGTAGACCTATTGGTTATAGTATCTGAGATGTAGACTTTACCACGAAAACTTAACCTTGTTCACTGAAACATGAAATGAGGTCAAGGGCATGAGGACCTTGCAAGGTACGCACATACCAAATATAGTTATCCTATTACTCATGATAAGAGAGAAATTAAGAATACTAAAAATCTTGACTTTTTTTCCAAGTAGTCACTGAACTATGAAAATGAGGTCAAGGACAATGGACATATGAAAGACAGAAACTTCATATCATAAGGCATCTATATACAAAATATGAAGCATCCAGGTCTTCTACCTTCTGAAATATTAAGAATATGTAGAAGTTAGTTAAAGTCATAGACTATCCCTATGTCAAGCTTGCTGCGACATAAGTCGCAGGCTCCACAAAAACTAGATTTTTATTATGCTGTTTTTCGCTTATTAGTACAGCCAAACCAAAGTTTAAGTGGAAGGGACCTGACATAACTATTCACAAGTTTAGCCTTGTATGTAATAGTAGAAATCATACAATCCATATGCATGAACAGTACATGCAGTATTATGAAATACTTTATTTCTTAAAAAAAACTTGTTTCAATGCACAATAAAAACATACGATTTCTATATTTGAATCTCTTTTTCCTTCCAAAAATATCTTGACTTTTAACTAGGTTTGAATTTTTGTTCATTTTTCTTCAAAGGGAGTTTGAAATATACGATTTCGAATCAACCAAGTTAAACTCATCAGAAATCGAAATGCCTTGAATAAACAGGAATTCTACTGGGACTCTCACAATGCCACGACTTGTATAAGTTTTTGACATAACAAGGCTTGGCTGTAATAGAATAAATGTATTTGGCAAATTTCTGTGCAAGATCTTTGGGTCTGTCGGATAGGGTTCACCTTACCTTTCTTTATCTTATTTCTTGGATCGGTGATCAAGGTTAAGCTTTTGTTGCCAAGTGTGTATCTCGGATACTATAAGCAATAGGTCAACTGCATTAGGTGTATGGAATTATTGTAAAGTGTACGTGTTTGTTTGGCAGGATTCCTTTGACCTTGACCTAATTTTCATTGGTCAATGTTAAGTTTTCTTGATTAGGTCTTTTTCTCAGATACTATAACCAATAATTTCGCTATGTTTGGTTTATGGAATTATTGTAAGGTGTGCCCGTCTTTTTGTCAGGGTTCATCTGACCTTGACCTGATTTTCTTTGATCACTGGTCAACTTAAGTTTTTGTGGTTAAAATGGTTTCTCAGATAATGCAAGGATTTGTATTTACTATACAAATCCTTGGATAATGTAAGCAAGTGGTGAATTTCATTTCCTGTAGGGAATGATTATAAAAACGAAATGTCTTATCTGACCTTGACCTCCATATACATGGATCATTGATAATGTTATACTTGTAGTACAAAATTACTGTTTCTGTCTGTGTTTCTTCAAGATTGTGATTAGGTCAGTTTGAGGGGAACCAAATATGATAAGTCAATGATATTTGATATGCAGTTGTATAGGTATTGTAAAGGCCGTATGATTGCATATAATTAAAATAGAGAATGGAAATGGGGAATGTGTCAAAGAGACAACCCGACCAAAGAGTAAAAAACACAGCCGAAGGCCACCAATGGGTCTTCAACAGAGCGAGAAAATCCCGCACCTGGAGGCGGACTTCAGCTGGCCCCTAAACAAAAATGTGTACTAGTTCTATGAAAATGGACGTCATACTAAACTCCTAAACATATAAAGGAACTAAAATTTAAAAAACTTACAAGACAAAGGCTCCTGACTTGGGACTGGTGCAAAAATGCGGCGGGGTTAAACATGTTTAGTGAGATCTCAACCCTCCCCCTATACCTCTAGCCAATGTAGATTAAACAAACGTACAGTAAAACTCAGTTTAAAAGAAGTCCCGAGTCCGATATCAGAATAGGTAACAAAAGAAACTAAACAAAATGACAATGATACATAAATTAACAAAGGACTACTAGCAGTTAGTACTTACTGACATACCAGCTCCAGACCTCAATTAAACTGATTGAAAGATTACGTCTTCATCATATGAAAATCAATCACAATCCCTCCCGTTAGGGGTTTAGTATCATACCATCATAAAATATATGAGAAGAACATAACCCGTATCATGCCAACAACTGGTTTTAGAATAAATGTGTTCATTTCCGATACAAAGACCCTATAAGTGAATCAATATTAATACCAAAATATGCCATCTTTAATGACCTGACAACAGTATCGTAACTATATCCCTTCTGAATAAGTCTGTTTAAAGGTTTGGTTAGCTTTTGAGGTGAATGCCGACATTTTTGTGCTTTGTAAAGAATATTACCATAAAAGATTAGATGTGAAATACCTGAACGTATAAGATGTCTGCATGTTGATTTATATTTACGAATGATGTCCTAGTACCGATGGTAAAATTTAGTAAATGTTTTGACTAGTTTGTGATATCGAAAACCCTGGTGAAACAATTTTTCAGTAATACAGAGATTTCTTTCTTTAAAATCAAATATGTTGTTACATACACGAGCGAATCGAACAAGTTGAGATATATAAACACCATAAGATGGTGACGAGGGAACGTCATCATCTAAAAATGGATAATTAACAATTAAGAATTGAATGCTTCTTTTTGTAACTTCATTTGGGGTGTAAAAGCGTTGACCGAAGTACATTTTGTATGAAGCGCGGAAGCGCTTCATTCTAAAAATGTGCGCACGGTCAACGCTTTTACAACCCTATGAAGTTACAAAAAGAAGCATTCAATACTTAAAATTACATTTTTTAGCTAGGATTATGAAAACACGATTTTTATCAAGTTTTTATTTAATTTACCTGTGCACTTTATTGTGGGACCTCGTGTCATCATGAATGATAAATTTTATTGTGTAATGAAGTTGATATTGAAGGAATAACGCGAGATTGCAGTGTAGCCAATCAGAATAACGTATTATAATGAAACATACATCTAATGTAATTATTAGGAAATGAAAAATCATCTCTTTTTTTTTGGTAATAAGCTTCCCGTTAAAGATATAGATATCATGATCCAGGAAAGGGCAGTGTTCATTGTTAGTATTAGCTTTATTTAAAGTCAGTTCAGCAGGATAAATCTCTTTAGTGTACATACTGAAGTCGTCATTATTGGGAGCCAATATATCATCCAAATATCTAAAAGTGTTATTAGATTTTTGTATCAGATGTTGTTTCGATGGGTCTTTGTTGATTTTAGTCATAAATTGTAACTCATAACAATACAAAAA